TGTTAAAATGAAAAATAATATTTGTCAGTAATTTACATAAAAGCTACACATGGAAAATAGGCAACCATTTTATTTTTATTTATTACTTTTGTCAACTCATGCTCTGCTTTCCTCTCTTCTTGGAAGCACCTAGAATGGAAATAGTGGCCTTTATGTGTGTCATTCTGAATACTATTTGTACATTACAGTGGGGATGGCACATCTATAAAATGTGAGATTCCCAAAGAAAAGACTCTCCTTTCCACACTTCTATGTGAGCCGTGTTTTTGCCAGGCATTTGCATCTAGTGATACAATGATCAAGGATCATTTTCTTTTTTATATGTGGAACAAAATCATGCTCTGAACAAATCAGCTTTACATTTCCTTTACTCCCAGCTTCTCCATATTTCCCCAAGCTTTCAATAATCCACTAAAAGAAGTTAAACCGAATACTTAGTGGGTCAGGATAATTTCCATCAAATATGATTTATTTAGCAATCATGTATAGTAGGAAATACAGAGAGTTACAGCATAATAAAAACACAAGAATCACAGGCTGTCATGTTAAAAATGTAAAGTTCTGTTAAATGAAAAGGCATATGAACTTGCAAGCATATGGTGGGCAACTGTGGGTAAAAACACAAAGCAGGTGAAAAGTCTATGGAGGGAGACAGTCCTGCCTCACAGTGTGAACTCACACACCAGTATCTGCAGAGGGACAGCACATGTGACCTCCAGTCTAACTCCTATGTATTTGTGCCCAATAGGAGTGGTCTTACAGAGAGAACAAGGAAGTAAAGAGTGTGGAAGGCCAAGGAGACACGTTAGGGAGGGTAGAGATAGGAAGAGAGGGAGGTGAAGGGAAGAGTAAGTGTGCCAGGTAGTGTGACAGCTCTGAAGTAGTGTGTCTCCCCAAGTCCCCTGCAAGTCAGTAACAGTGCTCTGTAAGTCACATAACTTTGACAATTCTGGTAGCACACATACATTGACCAGTGTGTGTATTCCTCTATTTATATCAACCAAGCACAGAGATAAAGGAACAAATTGGATGTGTTTTTATGCCACAAGGGGAGCAGGATTACAATCTTCTTCCCTCCAGAGATACAACTGGCTCAATTAGGAAGAATAGTGATCAGGTTTCTTAGATTCTCAGATTCTGCTTTAAAAGCAGACTATTTTCTAGATGGTAGATATGTCAATGTTTAAAAATAAAGACATTAAGAGCAGTAGTTACAGTTTCTTCATAAATAGAAATGTCCATTTTGAAGGACAAAGGCTGCTATGATGCACATTTCTATAAATCTTCTCAACATATTATTATAGACCAATCTTTACTGCTGACATTTAAAATATCCATCACATTATATTGTCTATAATACAATTCCATTATTGAGCTGTTCTGAGCACAAGGTTTAGACAGTATTAACACTAAGAATCTAATTCACAGAACATTTAAAAGCATTTTATAAGTCTACACACAAATATATCTTAAATTACAATAATGCATACTAAATATGCATAGAGAATATGGCTTACACATTAAAGTAGATCGAAGTTGTGAGTTATAGAGAACTCACTACTTGGGCTTAGAAGCTTCTGGTTGTGTCCTTCTCTAAAATATTGTTTAGTTTTGTGGAGCCTGGGAGAAAAGCAGGTGCAAGAAGCAACTCATTAGGATGGGCAAACCCTTTTGCACACTTTTCAATTTACAGTTACTCTTGATTCTTTGCATCCAATTTCCACCTTCATGAAGTTCACAATCCCTGAAAGGTATGTACAATGAAAAGCTACAACATCAAATTGGGATTGACCAGTCTTGTTAGCCAAAAACAATAAAGGCCTTTAGGGCAAGGAAAGGCTTCACACATGCTCAGGCAAAATATGGCAAAGAAGCAGAGTCTCTGAGGGTTTCAGTTTGTTTCTGTTCAGTAAAATCAGAAGCCACATCAAATAATGTTAGCTATACAGAAAAGTATGGGTTTCCTTTTCCATACACACTTCTGAGCATGAGTACACACACCTACACCACACACACACACACACACACACACACACACACACTCTCTCTCTCTCTCTCTCTCTCTCTCTCGCTCTCTCTCTCTCTCTCTCTCTCTCTCTCGCTCTCTCTCTCTCTCTCTCTCTCTCTCTCGCTCTCTCTCTCTCTCTCTCTCTCTCTCTCGCTCTCTCTCTCTCTCTCTCTCTCTCTCTCGCTCTCTCTCTCTCTCTCTCTCTCTCTCTCGCTCTCTCTCTCTCTCTCTCTCTCTCTCTCGCTCTCTCTCTCTCTCTCTCTCTCTCTCTCGCTCTCTCTCTCTCTCTCTCTCTCTCTCTTTCTCTCCCTTTCTCTCTCTCATCTCTTATCCTTTGGCCTATAATATATTCTTATATTCTAATGGGATAAAATCCCTGAAGGAAAATTCTGTTTTCCCTTCAAGTGCCTTTCTCCTGCAATGTCTGATGCTCCTTGTTACTGTGGACCTAGAGCAAGCTGTGTGCTGCAATATGACCACACACATGGGTGATACAGTAGTGCCTTAAAACCACAGGGATGGCTGCAGGATGATCCTCTAGCTTCAGGGGAAGGTAGCACTTTAGCTTCCCAGCTGGAGACACAGTGTACATCCAGTCCCTGCATGACAGCTCTCATGGTTGACTGTTGCTGGGATTTCATGACCAACTGAGCCACCTCAATTCTCCTTCTGTCCCCATGTATTTAAAAAGAGTACAGTCTCACCACACCAGCCTTGCAAGAAAACCCCATTTTCCATCATTTGGGTTCACTTTTCTTTTACTTTTTTCTTTCATTTAAAATGTTGTTGTAGCAGCACTCTAAGTAATACAGTGCAAGAAGTACATTGGGAAATGGTTTATCTTCTGCACAAGTTAAAAGTGATGAAAATTTCAAACTGTCTGACTTTCAGTCTTAAATGATCTTTCTGGTTTGATTGAAGATGATGAAATTATGGAGGGATAGCAGACACAGTAGCCATAATCCTAGTCACAATCCACTGGTACTTCTTTGCCAAGTTATTAGATTGAAATTTATGTTTTTATTCCTTACAGAGAAGTTCACTAAAATGGCCTGAGCCAACTGTATGTTCAAAGAGGAGAATATAGTTTTTTAGAGTCTCAAGGACTTTGCATGTTTTCCATGCTGCTTCATTTCCCTGAAATAAAAGTCAAATGAAAATGAGTCAGAGAAGGGATGGGAAGGTAGGCTGGGTAGATGTTGGTTAGAAGATGCAAAATTTCATAGAAGTAAAATCAAGATACATATTTACAAGTTATAGTAAATAATAATGTATTGCATTCTTGAATAATGCTGAGAGTGGCTTTTCTATAGGCTTCAAACCATGTTGCATGTGATGAATAAAGTTTCAGAAATTAAAAATAAATGAGGAAAAATAGGGAACATTGTTTAATATGTATAGGTGTCAACTACTGAGTGGCAGTTCCACACAGGACCAACACACTACCTGAAATAAGAGATTCACCTTTATGACTAGCATTTGTTTTATCTAAATTATAATTCCTTCCTAGATCTGTTCTATATGTCTGCATGTTTGCACAGTTTTCAAATGTAGGAGGTCTTTTTCATACACCTAACAATCATCTCAGTAAACACACTGCTGGCTTGTATTCCTTACATACATTTTAGGGAAATGTTCATACATATGGTATACCTATACCATAAGTGTTTAGAAAATGTTGGCCCAAAGATTTTCTGTCTTTTTGTATGTGTGCATATGGTGGTATATAGTAAACACTGGGTTGTCAATGTCCTATAGAAAAAAATCTTGTTTAATTATTATTTATTTGTTTTTATGAGTTACATTCTAACGGAATTTTTGTTACTTAAAACATCTGTAATAGTCTACTCAAAATATGAGAGTTTTCTCAAAAATATACTTTCAAGGTTTCCTCAGGCATCAGCAGGACCCAATAACTCATCTTTTTAGAATAATACTTTTATTTTATTAATTCATTGAGAATTTTATGGAATGTACTTTGATTATATTCACCTTGAATGGCCAGGATCTCTAAAGTCAATAAATATACAATCTGTGTAGAAGTGTGGAGAGTCATTATAACTGTTACCATCAATGTTAAATATAGAGATGGGCATGAGATGCTAAAGAGCCAGCCACTTGGTGATTTGATTTATTTCCAAGCTTCATGTATAAAACAGGAATCATAACCACCATGGGATTCTTGCCATAACATATATAAGATTTTCTCCAATGAGAATCTTCACAAATATTGAAGAATTACCTTAAAAGTCAAATAACATTTTAATTCTGTCAAAACAGAACCTGATGAGGCAAAGAATAACAACATCTCAAGGGTGTGGCATGCATCTTCAGCATTCTCCCCTGCCCCTATAGTACACCACCATCAATATTCCTTATAACACTTAGGATTTGTTTCTTATGCATTTTCTTGTAAACTTGAAGACATTTGCACTATATACACCACCCTTTCTAATTGCCTGTTTCTTGTGTATCCTTCCTAGGAAATAGTTTTTTTAATGGACATTAATATTAATATATCAACTCATTAAAACTTCATATTTCTACAGCATCATTCCTAGTGTTATCAGTTTGGCCATTTTTATAAACAAGTACCATTACTGTCCATAGATTTGTACCAAACATGGTATTTGTGTATATCATCAAGAACAAGTAGTCGCATTTCCTATATAAAATAAAAATAGAAGTCAGGAAATAAATAGTTCCCATATGTTGTAGAAAAAGTAATTCTACATCTTCTCCCATTCCAAGGATTCTTCACTGGAATCTTCTTCATAAACCCTATAAAATACAGCTTGTTATCATTAAAGAATTGAAACTCTAATTACAATTTTGTTCGTGATATTTAAAATTTAGTTGATAAAAAAGAATATTTAAATGAGGTCCTTTGTCTCTAATGGTGTTAGAAATTAGGGTGTTTTTTTCTTTTGTCTATGAAGTAAGATTACCTCTTATGTTTAAAACAACTGAGCTCTTAAAAGTTTGTTCAGACCTATGGATGTGTGTCAGCATGCTTTTCTTCAGCATTCCCTAAGTCTTCTGAGTTCTTATGAAGATCAAGTTCACCTAAAACATCAAACAAACAGGTAAGACAAAATTAGCCATTGGGAGAAAAAAAAATAACAGGCCATGAGATAGTACTTCATAAAGTGTTAAAGACTGGACTTTATAATGGATTTTTTTTTTTTTAGTGTAGTTCTCCAAAGATGATGCTTTTTATTTTCATCCTGTGAGTTTACAGAATACAACAACATGTCTTCTCTTGACTACTTAACCTTTAAAGTTGCAGCTTGGTCTGGAAACACAGAAATAAAATACCTGAGATAAGCATCTATTAAGTCACACATGGGACTGCATGATTTTCCTGGATCATTCTTTTACTGAAACTAAGTTTAGACAAATCCTAATGACCAATGTCTTTAACCACTTACCGATTAGCTGCTATGAATTTACAACAAATGAAATAAATGTGAGTAACTAGTAAAGTTTCAGATAAAATAGTCTGTCAAAACAAATTAATGGAATTTATACTCTGAGAATTTTATATAAACTCCAGCTTTATATAAACCCTGAAGATAAGAAAAACATTAGTGCGGAAACTATTCCAATGCTTCCTAAGACGTTGAAGAGAATTGATCTAACATTGAATAATTAAGTTTCAGGTAAACATAAATGGAGACCCAGGTGCTTCCCAGACGAGTATCAGTGCAGTACTGTTTACACTTGCTAGACTGGGCAGGTACGTAGACTGACTATTCTGTAAGTGCAGCAGTGATGTGTTGAGATACTTCTCACTAAGGATCCTGGCTGAATACTTCACCCCAGCCTGTTGACAGAACAAGAACATCTGGCTGCCTTGCAACCTCCCAGAAATTTGCTGCTATATTTCCAGCTCTTGTTACATTCAAATATGTTCT